CTTTTTTTTATATATATAATTATTTTTATATATAATAATATTTATATCATATTTATTTAGGTGGGATACGAAAGGGTCAATATTGACCTTTCTTTCAAAACCTACTCCGTAGAGGCTGAAGAGGGCTGAGGGTATACATCTGTCGGCAAAACCGACCGATACTTTTTCACTTGTTCTCATAAAAATTTCAAGCTCACATAATTCCAATTGGCATTAAATTTTGTGTATTTTAGTACTTTTGACATACTTTTTGTCCAAATTTCGGAAAAAAAAACCTTTGGTTCATCTGTCCCACATATTCACGAAGATTATCGCTCTATTCCTTCCCGAAAATACCAAAAATGATTACCATTTAATAATGTTTGTACTTTTAAGTACGTATTTCCAAATCCCCCGCCATGTGTAAGACAAAACCTCACAAAAAGGTGATTCCAATTCCAAATTTTAGACTTCCAACTCAATCCTTTAACCAAATAATAAATATGTAGTACTTTTTAGTATATCCCATATCCCAATAATCCCATACACTAACAGTGGCCCTAATGCCTAATTCAGATATCAAGCAATATAAATACCATTTACACCTACGCCTGCTAAACGTCCTTAACCAGCAGAGACCCCAATACCGACAATTTAAATTTCCGGATCAATTCGTTCAACCAAAACCAAATTGTAACAAATTTAGTATCATCTAGTACACACAAGTACAAATCTTATTCTGAATTTCAGCATTCCAGCTCTATCGGTTGGGCCAAATACCAAATTTAGTACCAAATTTAGTACACATAAGTACGAATTTCCAAAACTTCCTACATAACCCAATCCTACACTCCCACAGTAATCTTAATTCCAAATTTCAGAATCGGTTCAGCCGAATCCAAATTGTACCAATTTCTGTAGTCTGCGGTTACATATCGGTCGTAAAACAATATTTGGAGACAAGTTTGCCACAATGACGAATAAATTCTTAGCAAGCAACCTGGGAAGTTGATGTGTCTACATTCATATTCCGTTGTCAGAAGTTCACACCCAAACTCGTTATTACGCTTCCGAAAGGGAGACCATTATCATCTCCTCATTTTCCCACGTTGTATTTCAATATTCAAGGACAATTAACAAAGTGAAATTACTATTTGGAATGAATTACCAAATACCAATCAACAAAATGTAATTTTGTTGTTCTTATTGTTGTTGTTGTTGAAAGACAACAAAAAATAAACATTCCACAAATATGATGCCAACCAATTGTGTTCGAAGTATTACATGAAAATTCTGTGAAAATTCATTCAATACTTCCGCTGTTATTTATCGATGTTGTGTATTTCTAAATTCTTAAGTTTTCAAAAACGAAAAAATCCTTGTTGACAGATATCCAGGCAAAATTCAGAGACAGAGAGAAGTTGGTGAGGGGTTTCGAAATATCATCATATGTACATACATTTGAACTATTCTTATATTTATTTTTTATCACAGATATAGCAAAAAATTGACCACAAAATAGACATAGAAGCATCGACATACACACACATATATATACATAGTATATTTCGTATGTATATAACCAACGTCATGCGTACTTCGATAAAATATGATACCACACATACGTCACAATAACAACTTAACGCCAAACAATCATATTTCCATCAATGACTGACTGACAAAATAAGTGAGTGACTAACTACTAATCTGCCACAGCTGGAGGAGCATAAGGAAGATCATTGACTAAATTGCCGGCGCAGCTTTATGTGTGGGCAATGCGTCTAAATGTAATGACACGATGTAACATTAACAAGCCAAAACATGACAACTATAATGGATGTGACGGCAAATGTCAAAATGTATGGACGTTTTAGGCTCGAAAAGAAATGTTCGTAGAACTGTAAATTAATCTCTTCAGGTGTTCTATAAGAGTTCATTCATATTCTCTTTGAGAAGACACACAGGTCCTCTATAAAAAGATCTATATGTCATCCAAAAGAAGACATACTTTATATAAGAAGACCTACAGGTTCTCTATAAGGAGACCAACAGGTCCTCTATAAGAAGACCTAGAGGTCCTCTATAAGAAGAATTAGAGGTCCCCTATAAGAAGACCTAGATGTCCTCCATAAGAAGACCTACATGTCCTCCATAAGAAGACCTAAAGGTCCTCTATAAGAAGACCTACAGGTCCTCTATAAGAAGACCTACAGGTCCTCTATAAGAAGACCTGAATGTCCTCTGTAAGAAGACCTGAAGTTCCTCTATAAGAAGACCTGAAGGTCCTGTATAAGAAGAATTAGAGGTCCCCTATAAGAAGACCTAGAGGTCCTCTATAAGAAGACCTAGAGGTCCTCTAAAAGAAGAATTAGAGGTCCCCTATAAGAAGACCTAGAGGTCCTCTATAAGAAGACCTAGAGGTCCTCTATAAGAAGACCTAGAGGTCCTCTATAAGAAGACCTACAGGACCTTTATAAAAAGACCTACATGTCCTCCATAAGAAGACCTACATGTCCTCCATAAGAAGACCTAGAGGTCCTCTATAAGAAGACCTAGAGGTCCTCTATAAGAAGAATTAGAGGTCCCCTATAAGAAGACCTAGAGGTCCTCTATAAGAATACCTACAGGTCCTTTATAGAAAACCTATAGGTCATCTATAAGAAAATGTTCAGGTCTGCTATTAGAAGACATACGTGTCCTCTATATGAAGAAATACTTGTCCTTTATAGAAAACCTATAGGTCCTCTATAAGAAGACACACAGGTCCTCTATAAGAAGACCTACATGTAATCCATAAGAAGACATACTTCTTCTCTATAAGAAAAGAACCTCTGATCCCCTAGGCGAAGAAGATATTTAGGTCCTCTAAAGGAAGATCTACAGGTATTCTGCGCGAAGACCTACACGTCCTCTATAATAACGCCTACGGGTCCTCCATAAGAACGCCTACGGGTCCTCCATAAGAAGACCTACAGGTCCTCCATAAGAAAACCTACAGGTCCTCTATAAGAAGACCTACAGGTCCTCTATAAGAAGACCTACAGGTCATCTATAAGAAGACCTAAAAGTCTTCTATAAGAAGACATACAGGTCCTCCATAAGAATACCTACATGTCATCCATAAGAAGACATACTTCTCTAGGCGAAGAAGACCTATAGGGCCTCTAAAGGATCTGAAGGTCCTCTATAAGAAAACCTGAAGGTTCTCTGTAAGAAGACCTAAAGGTCCTCTATAAGAAGACCTAAAGGTCCTCTATAAGAAGACATACATGCCATCCATAAGAAGACATACTTCTCTAGGCGAAGAAGACCTACAGGTCCTCTATAAGAAAACCTACATGTCCTGTATAAGAAGACCTACAGGTCATCTATAAGAAGACCTGAAGGTGCTCTATAAGAACGCCTACGGGTCCTCCATAAGAAGACCTACAGGTCCTCTATAAGAAAAATTACAGGTCCTCTATAAGAAGTCCTACAGGTTCTCTATAAAAGACCTATAGATACTATATAGAAGACCTATAGGTCTTCTTTAAGAAGACGCACAGGTCCTCCATTAGAAGACCCACATGTCATCCACAAGAAGACATACTTCTCTAGGCGAAGAAGACCTATAGGTCCTCTAAAGGACCTGAAGGTCCTCTTTAAGGAAACCTGAAGGTTCTCTATAAGAAGTCCTACGGGTCCTCTATGTGAAGGCCTACGGGTCCTCTATGTGAAGATCTACAGGTCCTCTATAAGAAAACCTACAGGTCCTCTATAAGAAAACCTGAAGGTTATAAGAAAACCTACAGGTCCTCTATAAGAAAACCTGAAGGTTCTCTATAAGAAGTCCTACGGGTCCTCTATAAGAAGACCTACAGGTCCTCTATAAGAAGACCTTCAGGTCTCCTATAAGAAAACATACCTGTCCTGGGTCCTCTGCAAGAAGACCCATAGGCCTTCTATAAGAAGACATATACGTTCGCCATAAGAAGGCATACATGTCTTCTATAAGGAGACCTATTAGTTCACCATAAGAAGACCTACAGGTCCTTTATGAGGAGACCTACAGGTCTTATATAAGTAGAGCCAAGTCCTCTGGTTTTCTATGTGAAGAAGATTTTTTGGTCTTCTATGCGAAGAGGCCCCTCTGGTCTTCTTCTGTTCGAGAAGACCCTCTGGTCTACTATGCGAAGAAGACTCTCTGGGCTTTTGTTTGGATAGAAATTGACAGATGACGATGCGTCTATTTCACTTTGAGTGTAAACAACCCTCACTTCTAACATTTGATGGGGAAATTCGTAATATTTGCAGAATTATTGACAGTTTGACATTAGTATTTGCTTAAAGATAACTTCGATTATTTATGCGTGTCTGATAGTGGGGCGTGTGTAAATAGACGTAAGGGTGTAAGGACATTATATTTCTTTTTTAAAAATAATAGGTAAAAGTTACATTTATTTACGTTTTACCATGGAGATCCTAAACTACATAATGTCACAAAAGGTTAACTTTTCGTTATCATGATGTCGACATGGAGTTCAGTACACCCTAATATTTTTATAATCGATAATTGATATTAATAAATAAATAAATGAAGTACGTATGTGTGTATAGAAAATATTAAAATGATTAATGACACGCAGACCGTCACCCACCAACAAAATGACGACGACAACATTTAAAGGATACGTCAAAAGACCGTGTAGTTTAACAAATATTTAAAGAGGTTGTTGACAATGCGCCAGCAGGACACAATTAGGTGGATGCGCGCGTGTGTGTGTGTGGAACTAGGCGGCAGTTAGCCAATGAATTGGGACATTGGGATTGGGAAGGAATGTGAAACAGCAGTTATGTTCAAACTGTGGCGAAGTTTCTTGGAATAAGAAATAACAAAAGGAATTAAATTGCCGTATATAATTAACAAAAAAAAAAGGCAGTGTCAAAATCTTGGGCTAGGTGGAAGTGTAAATAAAATAATTTTATCAATATGCTTACGAACAACTCTAATTTTAATAATTTTCTTTACTTTTGCTTTACAGCTTTAATACCCCTCATCAACTTGGAATTTTAAAACCTGCCACCAAAAATGACATCCACCCATCTGCGACGGCTACCCATCATAATTTTAATCTACATATTTATATTTGTTCCGGAACTATGGGCCACGGCGTCCATAGATGAATTGGAAAAATCCCATTTACGCGGTGATTTCCACACGCCATGTTTCTTCTTTCAAACGGTAAATGTTACAGCCGATAAGAGATTTGCTAACGGCTCGTATCTACACGATGGCGTTATTATCCCACACAATCTTATCGGAGTCTATAACTATGTTTACAAGGATCCTGTGACCCAGACACGAGTTGCTCCACATCTGCGTGGTTGTATTTGTAAACTAAAGCCTTGTGTTAATTTCTGTTGTCCCTATGGTCAGGTGCACAATGGCACAGATTGCTATGACGCTTCCAGTGAATTGGATTGGCCACATGAAATAAATGTGACCTTGCGCAATGGTCTCCAGAAAACAGTAGATGTTTTTGAACAATTTGCCGTCGTACCATTTCGTCCGTGCGTGTCGATGTATGCTTTGGATCCAACACAATTTCCTGAGGATGAATGGCAAATGCTTGAGGTGAGTTAAAAAGATTTGAGAATTTCTTGGGATAACTGTTAATGATGACTGACTTACCGGAGAATTCCAGTAGTTTATGAATTAATATAACAAAAAATTAGAGTTTTCAATATAACCGGAATGTTCATGAAAAAATTAAAAAGTTTTGTTTCTGATAGCTCAATAACAATTTTGCAAAATTTTGTACCATTATAGTACAAATTTCTGAAATAAGTACTTTTTAGTACTAATATTCAAAAATCCTGCTCACCGAAAGTCATCCTAAGTCAAAATTGAAATCTGATTATCTGTAATCGCTAAATATTTTACCATACTGTACCATTACAATACCCTAACTGTGGGCCGCACTGAGACCGATTTTAAAGTTTGTACCTTTTAACAATTTTCGAACCCTTAACGTACGAATTACCCCAGACAGATTTATACCCTCAGCCAATGATCGATTGTTTAAATATATTTTGACTTCTGTTATGATTATTCAAATTGTTGCCAATATTGACCAGGGTTGCCCATATTCGACGGACCCATGGGCCCATTCCAATGGACGAGGCTTGTCCGCAGGCAACATTCTTTGCGTCAATTGAATTTTGTACGGGAACAAATGCAAATCAATGCGAATAATCTGTTGTAAAGTGGACCGAGCCATGCCCAACTGCTGAGAACGGCGTTTTTGAGATGTTCTTGGGGACCTCTCAACACTGGCTCGTACGGCAGCGATATTCTCGGCCGATCGCCTTGGTCGACTTTTATATGGCCTCTTCGGATTAGAAAGAGCCTTACCAGTCGAAAATTTTTCGTATAAACGCTTAATGGTGTTCTTAGAAGGCGCACTTCTCACATTTTTTAATGTTTTAAAAGCACGTTGAGTTTTCACAATTGACTTCTTCTGTTGAATGTAAATTTCAACTATTTCGCGTGGCGTGTATTAGTTCATGGTAAAAATCTGCTTGGACTGACGCTTCAAACGCGGTATGTCATTAAGCGATGTGACATCTCTGTCAAAAGTTATGGCGTTGCCAGATGGGTCCGTCGAATATGGACAACCCTGTATGGAATAGGTTCCGCAGGAATGGGTCAATATTTCCCATTTAGTACCTGGACCTAAATAAATATGATATGAATATTGCGACGTGCCAGGTTTGGACTGTACATGAGATATGTGATAATTTTTGAGAAAATGTTTAAATTTGCGTAATGTACCGCATACAGGGTGAGGCAAAAAAACCTCAACAAAGTCAAACGCCATAATTTTTACATATTTTTTAATTTTATTCAATGAAAGCAGAAAATGTCGGAAATAGCATCAAATTTTAGATTAAGTTTATGTTGCTTCCCAGCGAAGGGTTTCCTTGAGGTGATCGACACTTTGGTATTTTTTAATGCCAACCTTGCTTTCCAAAATACTGCAGACACAATAGTCCAACGGATTGGTATCTGGAGATTTTGGTGGCCCATGTGCCCTCAAGAATATTTTCGCGATAATATTCGGTATTTGTTCTGATGCCATGGTCGATTAATACGAGCGGAGAGCGACTATTGGCTGTTATGGCGGCCCACACTATCACCATGGCCGGGGCTTGAGTTCTGGTGGCCAACCGAAGGTGCACATTTTCAGCTGACCTCTTTGGCAAGTAAACACGATCATCGGAGAAAACCCAGTTCGGCAGTTCACCACTTTCGGCCAAGCGAAACAACTCTTTAGCTCCTTTGAGTCTATTTTCTTTCTGTTGCGGTGTAAGTTCTTGCACATTTTGGAATTTCAATGGCTTTAACCCGAGCTCTTTTTTCAAAATTTTCCGAATGGAATATTGCGATATGTTCAGCTCATGAGCCATTTTTCGGCCACTGTGCCACGGGTTTCGATCAAGTCGCTTCTTTACTTTTCGAACCATTTCTGCTGATGTTGCTGTTTTCTTCCGTCCACTTCCTTGACGTCGGGCTACGCTGCCTGTTCACGGTAACGAGCGCTGGTACGAGACACAAACGATTTATTCACATTTAAATGCTGGAGTGCTCTAACGATAGCCACTTGTGGTTTTCCAGCCAAATATAAAGAAATCACAATATCACGCTTGAAATTCGTCACGAATAACTTTTTTCTGGAAAATTCTTACTAAATGCTTTAGCTATAAAGAATCGCTGACTTGTTTCGCAAGTTATGACAGATAAAAGTATTGAAAATTTGGTTCGGTTCGATTCGGTCTCAGTATATATCATGTTGCATTAGCAAACATGTTGCCATGTCTGAAATTTGAAGAGAATTCGATGCTTATTTCGTTTACTTTCAGGAGTTTGCCTTTCAAATCTTGAACCATATGTGGGGGAGGTACCTGAGGAAATGGTCTGATCTCGACCATATTTCTAACAGATCCTGTGTTTATGGAAATACTGAGATGTACCAAGTCCAAATGGAATCGGATGTTTATTTCGAATTTTATTAGCTTCATGAATATTCAAAATGTTGACCCTTTTGTGAAGGAGGTACCAGAAGGAGTAGACCGACATATTACATCCTCACACCAGTTTGAAAGGAATATCTCACACCAGTTTGAAAGGAATATCTCCCCCGTTGCGGGGGAGGTATCAGAAGTTGTGGTCCGTTCTTCTTGACAGATTTGTTAGAGGGCCAATATTATCCATTTTTACACCTTAATTAGTACTGATAAAAAATACTAGGGTTTGCGAAGTATGAACAAATCGGACAATCCTTTCCCTCTTTAATTCTCTTTGAAAATGTTGATATTTTTTTTGTGGTGGAGGTATCAGAAGGAGGAGACCGATATTTTCCGAACTCGAACTCGATGTAAGTTTGAAAATAATATTACAATGTACCAAGTTTGGACCAAATCGGATACTCCCTTCGAGTATTATCGTGCATACCAGCCAGCCAGATGGTGGGTGTACACCATCGACTCTAAATGTCCTGAAACGGATTTGGTCTAAAGGGTCTAAAACCGTTATTTCGATAAGACACGTTTTGGCAGTGTCAAAAGATATATACGTTTTGAAGCCATATTGCTGAGGGTATAATAACATGTACCACTTTGTAGCTTGAAGTACATTTTAGTATTTTTCGTACCCATAAATTATAGATTTCTTAAAACTCCATCTTATATAAAATCTCATACTAATAGTGTCGTCTCGAATAATGATCACAAAACTCCAGACTACAGTATAGCACACCTTGTTCAAAGTTCTAGCTATTGCCTATCACTTGGTAGCAATGATGAACCATTGGCAATAACAAAATGTTTGAAAAAATGGTCAGGCTTAACCCTTCTATTGTTGATTTTATAAAAACAACGTTTGTTTAATAGTGGAGAACGATGGTAATGTTTACCAGGGGGTAAGGCAGGGAATACTTAGGATTTGCGAGATCGTAAGCTCAGCAGAAGAGAAACCAAAGAATTAAATAAAAGCATAATTCTTCTGGAAAAATAAACAAACGTTGTTTTTATAAAAACAACAACAAAGGGATTAAGCCTGATCATTTTGCAACAATACAATACTATGGTATCCCGAACAAACTAGCCAACACTGTTCTAAAATGTTTAAAATTTAAGAACTTTACGGACACTTAAAGAACGAATTTCCAAATAATTCTGCCATATGACATCTCTCGGTACCAAGAATCGTCTCGCCGGGCTTTGATGTATCAGTCGAGCAGGAGCACAGTTAGTAATAACATATAAAAAACATTAAGTTTGGCCGGGACGAACTTTTAATACCCTCCACCTTAGGGGAAAGGAAACATTAGAAGTCATTATGATCCACAAATACCAATTTTTATACAAATTCGTGAAAAAATGTGGAAAAAATCATAAAAATACCGAATATGGGGAGGTATCGTTATATGGGGGCTATACCAAAACGTGGACCTGTACATAAAATGTTTTGCCACACGAGCTAGAACTCAAATACCAATTTTTGGACAAATCCGCGAAAAAATGTGGCAAAAAACATCCAAAAATATCGAATATCGGGAGGTACCGTTATATGGGGACTATACCGTTATATGGGGACTATACCAAAACGATATATCTCATTTTCAATACCAACCATCCTAGACACAATGCAAGTTGTTCTGCTAAATTTTTCTACGTCAAATAATGTGGGCTGTATCGTGATTTCAACATGCAGAGAGGCGGACAGACTGGCCGACAGACGGACTCCGTTAAATAGACTTAGATTTTTATGCTGAATATGAATATATTTAAACTTGGGATGGGATCTACGACGAATATTTAGGGATGTCACAAACGGAATGACACAGTTAATAATCCCTCCTCCTTTCCAATAATTCAGAGAATTTTGAAGGTCTTTCTGGAAGGAGGGGGAATTATTAGGATGTGCAAGAAATTGATCGAGTCCTTCAGCCAGATATACGGATAAACATCTCCGAAACGACTCTAAATATTCTAAACTATATTTCATTCAAAGAGGCATAGAGCAGAAATGTACGCAGGGTGGAGGTAATTCTGAGAATTATGAACGTTTTTGACGAGGGAAGGAAAGGAAGTGAATTGTTTAATTTTCTGAGATGTTTTTGGATTTAAGAAGGGTTTTTTGTAACCTCAGCCTCCTTCCGGAAATCATCACATCTCTGGCATGGGACAGAAAATTATATCCAAGGATGAGAATTCGCCCGATTACCCTCAAATTATCGGCAACATTGCATTTTTCCAACAATTGTTAACTCAGTCAGGTCAGGTGGTCAGGGTATTATGTCTTTGTGCATTTGTTTGTAACACGAGAGATAGACCCATAGTTCCTTTTGGTGATCTGCACAGAATCACATTCTGAGTCGATTTATGCATGTCCGTCCGTCCGTCCGTCTGTCCATGTATTTTTGTAAACAAAGTACAGGTCGCATTTATTGCCCGATCCAGATGAAATTTTGCACAGATCTTTTGTTTGGCCCAAGGACGAACCCTATTGAAATTGGAGATAATCGGTCAAAATTTAGATACAGCTCCCATATATATCTTCGTCCGAATTGCCTTTTATTGTGCACCAAACGTGTAATATCAGGCCTGAAATATGTATGCCGAATTTGATCGAAATCGGTTCAGATATAGCTATAGCTCCCATATATATTGTTCATCCGATTTGTTATTTTTGTCCACCGCCGCGTAATATGCACTATGCAACAACAATATTTGGGGAAATATATCAAATACAGCTCAGAAATACATTGGCTAAATTTTATCGAGATCGGTTCAGATTTGGATATAGCTCCCATATATAACTTCGTCCGATTTACCTTTTATTGTGCACCAAACGTCTAATATTTGTCCAAATGGGATGGAATTTGGCACTTACGACCGAATTGAATCTAGAAGCTAGTATGTCAAATTTGGTGAAGATCGGTTCAGATATAGCTATAGCTTCCATATATATTATTCATCCGATTTGTTACCCACAACCGTAATATGCACTCCGTAACAAAGATATTCAGGGAAAAATATCAAATACAGCTCAGAAATATCTTTGCCAAATTTTATCGAGATCGGTTCAGATTTGGATATAGCTCCCATATATATCTTTATCCGATTTCAAATTAATTGTGCACCAAATGGGCAATACAATCCTGAATTTAAAAGATACAAATGCTTCGGCATATTTAGTTCTTTGAACTTTAAATTATAATTATAATCATAGCGTGTATGATTGAATTCTCCCATAAAAACTTTTAATTGTTATGTGGAGCTCTACTTAATTAGCAAAGTGGTGTATGATATCATAAAGTCGACCCCGCCCGACTTTAAGACTTTCTTTACTGGTTAGATATATATACTTGCCCACATCATCCCTACAATTTTCTCCAATTTGTTTTTTTTTTTTTTTTCAGAATGGTACCCTCTATTTACAAGCCGGAGAAATGTATTTAACGCGAGAGGATTTCTGTATGATGACCAAGGTAGATGTAAATGGTACAAACATTCGTTATTTGAATCCGGCAAATTGTGAAGTTGGCTCCGCCCGTGGTACTGTCAAAATCATCAATGCCTATGCCATGTTGTTCTCCATTCCGTTTATGGTGCTTACCATCATCGTTTACCTGGCCATACCAGAGTTACGCAACCAACATGGCAAATCTCTGGTGTGCTATTTATTTGGTCTCATCGTTGGCTATTCCCTGATGGGTGCAAGCATCTTAAATGTCAGCATGGATGTGTTGGGTATCGAGTGCAAGATTGTGGGTAAGTTATGAGTGGATAAAAACTATATGCTGACAATTAATTAAATGTCCTTTTTGTCGCCAAAAAAAAAAAAAAAAAACAAAAGGTTATACCTGTTATTATTCCTTTATGTCTGCCTTTTTCTGGTTAAACGTCATCAGTTTTGATTTATGGCACAATTTTCGTGGCACCCGTGGCATCAATCGTTCACTGGAGAAGAAACGTTTCATCATGTATTCACTGTACTCGTGGGGCATTCCGATACTGTTCCTCTTGGCAACAATGTATGTCCAAGAGTATGTGGATATACCGGAACGTCTGCAGGACGATTTGAAACCTGGCATTGGAGGAGGACATTACTGTTGGATAAACAGTGAGTAATGCAGCATGACATTTTTTTTGTAGCCTCAGCTTTATGACAATGGTGATGTTAATATGAACAAAGGTCAGTTACAAAAATGTACAGTATTGCTTTCCCCTTATTATACCCTCCACCATACTATGGAGGGTATATATGAAATTTGTCATTCCGTTTGTAACAACAAAGTATACATATTCTTGATCAGCGCAAAAATTCTAAGTCGATTCGGAGATGTCCGTCTGTCTGTCTGTCTATTGTAATCACGCTATATTTCGAACGAATTGAGATAGAAGGCTACAATTTTGCACACATGTTTATTTTGCCAGTAGGCAGGTCACCCCCATATAACGGTTCCTCCCAATATTCGGTATTTGGATGATTTTAGCGACAGTATTCATCGGAATTGTTTGAAATTACGTATTTAGAGTTCATAATGGGAACTACAGTCTGTCACAGAAAATTGTCTACGCAGGTCCAGGTCTTCGTATGGGCCCCATATGTCAGTACCTCTCCATATTCGGTATTTTGACGATTTTAGGTACAATACTCATTGAAATTGTTTGAGTTGTTGGATGCTACAGCCTGTGACAGAGAATTGTTTATGTCCGGGTCCAGATCTTCGTATAGCTCCGATATAACGGTATCTCCCTACATACGGCATTTTGATGATTTTAGCTACATTATTCACCGTTTATTTCACGTTTCGAATTTGAATATGGTAATGGCGTATGAGAAACAATGCCTATGTAGGTCCATGTCGTATAGACCCCAATATAATGGATATATTCGGTATTTTTAAGATTTTTACAGCACTTTTAACAGAATTTATTTTTTGAATATTTCCAAATTCGTTCCAAATGGTGGAGGGTATTCAAAGTTCGGACCGGCGGAATATACTGCTTTTTAACTTCTTATACCTTGAAACACAACGTGTTGGGGGTATTATAAATTTGATTGGACCAAAAATTATGTAATGCCTCGAAATATTGGTTTCCCACATAGGAAAGTATATATGGATCTTCCTATCTCCCCGCGCTTAGTCGATCTAGCTATGTATATCCGTCCGTCTGTCTGTCCATGTTAATTTGTAATCATACTACAGGTCGCCATTTTGGTCCGATTCTCACGAAATTGAAAATGATTGATGAATGGACCTGCTCTATAGGTCGCAACTATAGACCAATCGACGCGGAATATTGCATGGGCCTAGAAGACTTCCGATCTGGATTGTCATCGGGTAATATTTGTGTATATACAAAGGACAGGGATGCTAGCTAGAATGTTTATATCACAATTAAAAATTAAAAAAAAAAAATAACTTACAGGCGAAATCCAAACTTCTGGCTTTTTATACCCTCCACCATGGGTAGGAGGGTATATTAACTTTGTCATTCCGTTTGTAACACCTCTAAATATTCGTCGTAGACCCCATAAAGTATATATATTCATAATCAGCATAAAATTCTAAGACGATTTAGCGATGTCCGTCTGTCTGTCTGTCTGTCTGTCTGTCCGTCTGTCTGTCTGTCTGGTGAAATCACGATAGAGCCCACATTATTTGACGTAGACCTTTGAAATTTGGCACAAGTGTGTGTATTGTCCCTAGGATGGTTGGTATTGAAAATGAGATATATCGGTCCACGTTCTGGTATAGTCCCCATATAACGGTACCTCCCGATATTCGGTATTTTGATGATTTATGCCACATTTTTTCACGGATTTATCTGAAAATTGGTATTTGTAGGTCATGACGGGTCCCTGAGCGTGTGGCAAAACATTGCATGTATAGGTCCACGTTTTGGTATAGCCCCCATATAACGGTACCTACCGATATTCGGTATTTTGATGATTTATGCCACATTTTTTCACGGATTTGTCTGAAAATTGGTATTTGTAGGTCACAACGGGTCCCTGAGCGTGTGGCAAAACATTGCATGTATAGGTCCACGTTCTGGTATAGTCCCCATATAACGGTACCTCCCGATATTCGGTATTTTGATGATTTATGCCACATTTTTTCACTGATTTGTGTAAAAGTTGGTATTTGTGGGTCATAATGGGTCCTAGTTCGTGTGGCGAAACATTGTAATTATAGGTGCACGTGTTGGTGTAGCCCCTATATAACGGTACCTCCCGATATTCGTCATTTTAATGTTTTTTGCCACATTTCTTCTAATGTTCTTTTACCCTAGGGTGGAGGGTATTAAAAGTTTGGCCCGGCCGAACTTAATGTTTTTTTACTTGTTTATGCTGATTTTTTTGCCGAATATAGCCAAATATCGTAGACAAGCAAATCATGTAGATGAGACTAAATTTGGAGATACAGAGGGGCCTCTTGCAATTGATCTCACAATTGAAACCAATCGACAAGGAATTTTGCATGAGAGGAGAGTTAAGGAAGTCTAGTATTTTGGATGACCATTGGATTATATTTAGCTGTAAAATGGACCACAATACCCCTGGACAGTGTTCTATAACATAATTTAAAAAGCGAAATCTTCCGAAAATGGATTTGGACATAAGTGACATTCTAACATATTGTAGTGTTGTATGGTATCACATGGTCGGCCCCGCACGGCTATAGCCTTTGCTTACTTGTTTGAATAATAAGTCTCGTTAAGTGTGAGTGGAGTGAGTGAGGAGTGGATTTTTTAAAAACATTTTTTAAGGACGTGTATTTGTTTCGGTATTTTGGAGAACGCGAATTTTGTAAAATATTTTATATTTTTTTGATATTTTTTAAAGTACGTGGATTTTTATGCCCTGCAAACCTATGTAAAGTAAAGTTTGTAACATCTTGAAATATTAGTTCTGGACATTAGATGTTATATATGGAAAATATCAGCCATATGGCTAGAGAGGGTATAAATCATTTGATGCGGCCAAAATGTGCCTCATCGAAATAGCGGTTTTAAACCCTAGGTTTCTATGGACCAAATCTGTTTCAGTGCATTTGGTGTCGATCGAGGGGTTTGTGTCCGCACTATAACTCTCGAAGGGAGTATCCGAATCGACCCAAGCTGGGTATATAGATCGAGTTCGGGGATGGGCAATATCGGTACCTCTACTTCTTCTCGTACCTACCCCACAAAAAATCGAAAAATCGAATAAAAAAAAAATATTTTACTGCACGGAATGAGAAAGAATATTCGGATTTTGCTCGATCTTTGCAATTCCTAATATTTGCATCAGTTCTAGGTCAGGTGCGAAAATGGACAATATCGGTACATTCCATCAAGTACCTCCCCCACAAAGGTTCAAGATTATTAAAATTATTCTTCAAATTACACACATCATTAAAATTATTTAAATTAATCCATGCTAATGTGGTTTTTGTTTTTAGTATGAAAAATTTTGGGATCGCCTTACAGTATACTATGAATTTGTTATAATAAAATCTTTACACATGACTGCAACATGCTGTATAATCTGTTCTTAGATTGTCATATGCGGAGGGTATACATATATATATATATATCTGTCGGAAAACCGACTGATACATTCTAATTTGTTTTATTTTGTCATCCATCTCTTCAATTACAGTGGACACGTGGGCTGGTTTTGTTTACTTTTTCACGCCGATTTTGTTTATCATGGTGGCCAATATAATAATGTTTGTCATGACGGCAATGAAAATTCATCGAGTACAAAACGAAATGGCCCGCATAATGGCCAAGGAGGACAGCACCAGAAATCTTAAAAAGGAAAAGGACAAGTATAGCCACATTTCCTCAAAAATATATCTGATTTCTAAATAATTTCCTTTCAATGTGTATTCTAGGTTCGGTTTATTTTTACGCCTTTTCCTGGTAATGGGTGTCACTTGGTCCCTGGAAATCATCTCATATTTTGTTGGGTCCGATAGTAAATGGGCGAAAATCTTCTATGCAGCTGATATTTGTAATGCCGTGCAGGGTTTCTTGATTTTCATGCTATTCGTCATGAAACGCAAGGTCAAACAATTGATAACGAATCGGTAAGTGATATCTTGAACGATTTTCATAAAATCTCCCCCTAAATTTGTGGCGTCCATTGTTTTTTTATTTAATTATTTATTTTTTTTAAATTCAAATTTCTTTTATGGTTTAGTAGTTGTCGCGAACGTCCGTCCCGCGATACAAATAGTACAACACTGGCCCAGTCTATGGTGCGACGACGTTTTCACGAAGTCTCCCTACAGATTAAACACATGATTATGATACGACGAGCTCTGTCGAGTAATACCTCGAATTTTCATTCTCACGCAGTATGAAGAATGTTACTGCTAGCGCAGAATGAGAATGGCAGGTTTAGGGGTTTTGTTTTTAGTAAATATTATTTTTTCATCTAGTCCAACTTTTCAAATGGTATAGAGAAAATGTAAGACTGGCAGTGGTACCACCATCTCGTTCCTCTTTTGCTCTCTATTGGTGTCGTGTTGTGTAGATGTTGTAGTAATTTTATATTCTTTTTTTTTTAATTGTTGTAAATACATTTTTTGTTTTTAATTTGCAAAAAGTTTTCCCAAAATGGAGATAATCCGCAGATCATTTAACACCTTTAATATACTCTCTATTCGAACCACAGATTTGATCATTTAACGAAAGTCTTGCCTCGCTGATCTATGAGAAGACCTCTACCTATTCTACGAGTAAACTTTAACTCTCCTTTGCGCAGACCTACTCTAGCTCTATTCTGAAAAGATCTCCTCTCGCTCTCTTCTGAAAAGACCCCTTAGCTCTTTACTGAAAAGACCTCCTCTAGCTTTCTTAAAAGCTGTCCTCTAGCTCTTCTTCTTCGAGAAGACCTCTAGCTCTTCTTCTTCGAGAAGACCTCTAGCTCTTCTTCTACGAGAAGACCTTAAGCTCTTCTACGAGAAGACCTCTAGTTCTTCTTCTACGAGAAGACCTCTAGTTCTTCTTCTACGAGAAGACCTCTAGTTCTTCTTCTACGAGAAGACCTCTAGTTCTTCTTCTACGAGAAGACCTCTAGTTCTTCTTCTACGAGAAGACCTCTAGTTCTTCTTCTACGAGAAGACCTCTAGCTCTTCTTCTTCGAGAAGATCTCTAGCTCTTCTTCTACGAGAAGACCTCTAGCTCTTCTTCTACGAGAAGACCTCTAGCTCTTCTTCTACGAGAAGACCTCTAGCTCTTCTTCTACGAGAAGACCTCTAGCTCTTCTACGAGAAGACCTTTAGCTCTTCTACGAGAAGACCTCTAGCTCTTCTACGAGAAGACCTCTAGCTCTTCTACGAGAAGACCTCTAGCTCTTCTACGAGAAGACCTCTAGCTCTTCTATGAGAAGACCCTTAGCTCTTCTACGAGAAGATCTTTAGCTCTTCTTCTACAAGAAGACCTTTAGCTCTCCTTCTACGAGAAGACCTTTAGCTCTTCTACGAGAAGACCTTTAGCTCTTCTACGAGAAGACCTCTAGCTCTTCTACGAGAAGACCTCTAGCTCTTCTACGAGAAGACCTCTAGCTCTTCTACGAGAAGACCTTTAGCTCTTCTTCTATGCGAAGACCTTTAGCTCTTCTATGCGAAGACCTCTAGCTCTTCTATGCGAAGACCTTAAGCTCTTCTATGCGAAGACCTTAAGCTCTTCTATGCGAAGACCTTAAGCTCTTCTATGCGAAGACCTTAAGCTCTTCTATGCGAAGACCTTAAGCTCTTCTATGCGAAGACCTTAAGCTCTGCTATGCGAAGACCTCTAGCTCTTCTACGAGAAGACCTCTAGCTCTTCTACGAGAAGACCTCTAGCTCTTCTACGAGAAGACCTCTAGCTCTTCTACGAGAAGACCTTTAGCTCTTAAATGAGAAGACCTTTAGCTCTTCTACGAGAAGACTTTTAGCTCTTTTACGAGAAGACCTTTAGCTCTTCTATGCGAAGACCTCTAGCTCTTCTATGCGAAGACCTTTAGCTCTTCTATGCGAAGACCTTTAGCTCTTCTATGCGAAGACCTTAAGCTCTTCTATGCGAAGACCTTAAGCTCTTCTATGCGAAGACCTTTAGCTATTCTTCTACGAGAAGACCTTTAGCTATTCTTCTACGAGAAGACCTTTAGCTATTCTTCTACGAGAAGACCTTTAGCTCTTCTACGAGAAGACCTTTAGCTATTCTACGACAAGACCTTTAGCTCTTCTGCGAGAAGACCTTTAGCTCTTCTATGCGAAGACCTTTAGCTCTCCTATGCGAAAACCTTTAGCTCTTCTATGGGAAGACCTTTAGCTCTTTTATGCGAAGACCTCTAGCTCTTCTATGCGAAGACCTAGAGATCTTTTATGCAAAGACCTTTAGCTCTTCTATGCGAAGACCTAGAGATCTTCTACTAGAAGACTTAGAGATCTTTTACCCGAAGACTTAGATATCTTCTATCCGAAGACCTAGAGATCTTCTATTTGAAGACCCCCAGTTCTTCTATGAGAAAGCTTCCAGCTTATCTATGAGAGGCCCTCAGCTCTTTTATAGGATCTCTAGTTCTTCTATGCGTAGACCATTAACTCTTTCATGCAAATTTTTTGTAGGTTTTGCATAGATATTCTCGATTACGTTTTGTAGCTTTGTATTCTACGTAGTTTTTTCATACCAATTTAGAGGAGTCTGGTATATATATTATCGATTACTGGCTAATCTTTTGGTTTCTGAAAAGAGCTTAGCAAAGAATTTGAAAGCTCTTATAAAAATAAATTTTCACAAAGATATTCGAAGAAAATTAAAAATTCTATATAATAACGTTGTTAAGATCCTGAAAAAATCTGCAAAAAATATTAGAATATTTATAACACTTTACTTTATTCTCCCCTTGTTAAGATATTTCAAGAGACCCGGTACGCCCAAGTCAAATTCCACAAATTCAACGAATTCCATAAATTCGGTGACGACACAGAAATCTAAAATATTTTCCATACCAATGACAACACCTGATCAAATGAAATTTTGAAAAGTAGCTATCGAAAATACATTCAGAATCTTCGAAGAAGGTAAAAAAACAACGTTGCGTAAAGAACAGTAATTATTTGCAATACTCTACACTTATGGGGTGTGGTGATATTTTTTTTGGGACAATATACACTTGCATTGGACCATGGATATAATATATACACAGAATTAATAACATTTCAAATTTCCCCAACCTCTTTGTAAATAATCCTTCATATTTTGAAACAGCAACTAATATTTAAAATATTCTATTTATGTAAATTACTAAACAAGAGAATGCTTTTATATTAATGCATGTTAATGAGTGTACGTGTAATAAAGACAATTTTACAAAATTGTTAATTTTTTTAATTTTCTCTCTGTCTATGTCCTCCCCGCAGATACTCATCGGTGCGTGAGACCAGCAGTAATCAACGACAAAGTCAATATTCTAACCGAACCACAACTAGCAGCATGGGCAATTTGGCCAATAACGTGCAGCAATCCGAGAAGCCTTTGATCCGACATCTAGAAAGTGTTACCAGTTTTGACTAAGTCAACTTTGTGCCAAAATGTGCCTTTTAGTAGCTATGTATCCCACTCGATGAATATGTGTCACATTCATTTCTTATATCGAATCTTCTCTGAGTAATTTTAGTTATTTAAGAATATTTTAGTTATTATTTTAAAAAATAAGATTTATTATCTAGCATAGCATTAGCATTAGGAAAAAAACAACAAAAGACATGAACAAAAGAAAACTAATGGCGAATTTGCTTATGTTAATTTTTTAGTTAGTGTGGATCACTATTTGCTTTTTAGAAGAGAATACAAGAAATAAAAAGAATTTAACGGACACTTGCAAATCACATGAAAAAAGCCAATACCCATAGAAGGTAAATTAAATAATACTGATAATAATAATAATAATAATAATAATAATAAAAATTGTTATTATATTTAATTATTGTAATTACAATTATATAGTTATGTTTGTAAATATAATTATTATAAGAATAAATATAATTATTTATAATGATTATAATTACAATTATAATTATTATAATTCTAATTTAAAAAAAAAAATAAACACAAAAAATCATTTTAAATATTATTTTAAGTGTCTGTATGTAATATCTCAAATCATTCCTTTTTGTAAAGCTAAGTTTCCGATCTATGTAAGCTTATTCTCATTCTACTATAATTGTAAATTTTCTCTGTGGATTTCCTTTGTTGCTATTATTATACCCTCCACCATTCTATGGAGGGTATATTAACTTTGCCATTCCGTTTGTAACCCCTCGAAATATTTATAATAGACCATATAAAGTATATATATTCAGGATCAGCGTAAAATTCTAAGACGATCTAATGATGTCTGTCTGGCTATTTTAATCACGCTAGCTTTCGAACGAATTGAGTTAGATGGCTAAAATTGGATATTAAAAAAATTTGCATACATGCATAGTTTATCAGTAGGCAGGTTAAGTTCGTAAATGGGCCATGCCGGTCCACGTCTTCGTATAGCCCCCGTACAACGGTACATGCAGACATTCGCTCTTTTCATGATTTTAGCGACAGTATTCACCGAATTTCTTTCAATTTTCGCATTTGAAGTTCCTAATGGGAACTACAGCCTGTGACAGAAAATTTTCTGTGCAGGTACAGGTCTTCGTATAGCCTATAGTACCTCCCGATATTCGGTATTTTGATAATTTTAGCCACATTATTCACCGGAATTATTTTAAATTTGGTATTTGAGGTTTATAATGGATACTACAGCCTAAGACAGAAAATTGTCTGTGCAGGTCCATGTCTTCGTATAGCCCCATATAACGGTAGCTCCCGATATTCTGTATTTTGATGATTTCAGTGACATTATTTTCCGAAATTATTTCAAATTTCGTATTTTAAGTTCCTAATGGGTACTACAGCCTATGACAAACATTTTTGTATACAGGTCCACGTCTTCGTATAGCTAACGATATTCTGTATTTTGATAATTTCAGCGACATTATTCACCGGAATCGTTTTACATTTCGCATTGAGAGATCTTAATGGTTACTACAACCTATGGAAAAAATTTCGTATGCAGGTCCACGCCTTCGTATAGCCCCCATATAACGGTACCTCCCGATATTCGGTTTTTTCATAATTTCAGCGATATTATTTACCGGAATTATTTCAAATTTCGTCTTTGTATAGCCCCCGTATTGAGAGATCTTAACGGTTACTACAACCTATGGAAAAAATTTCGTATGCAGATTCACGTCTTCGTATAGCCCCCATATAACAGTATCTCCCAATATTCGGGCTTTTCATAATTTCAGCGACATTATTTACCGGAATTATTTCAATCTTCGTATTTGAAGTTCGTAATGGGTACTACAGCCTATGGCATAAAAATCGTATGCAGGTTCACGTTTTCGTATATCTCTCATATAACGATACATTCCGATATTCGGTATTTTGATGATTTTGGCGACATTATTCACCGGAATTATTTCAAATTTCGTATTTGAAGTTCGTAATGGGTAATACAGCCTATGACAAAGCAGGTCCACGTCTTCTTATATTCTCCATATTACAGTTTTCATTTAAGGGGTACTTTCCGGAAGTTTTTTTTTGAAATTTTTCAAGTTCCTTCCAAATGGTGTAGGGTATTAAAAGTTCGGCCCGGCCGAACTTAGTTGCTTTTTTACTTGTTTTTAACTCATTTCTACATTATTGTTTATTCATATAATAATAAACATATAAACTAACTGTAAGCATATAATGTTATAATGTTATAAAATAAGAATGAAAAAACGGATCAAATTGCACAAAAGCTATTCAAAATTCTTAAATGTTTTGTTGTAAATAAAAAGCCAAAGAATTTTTCAAGTATGAAATAATTTATGGTTTTCATGTTTAAATTACATTTTTTTTTTTTGGTTTTGTTCCCCTAATTTTTACATCGTATAACACTATGTGTTAGGGGTGTAATAACTTTGAGTGGGCCAAAAATGTAGCACCTCGAAATATTGGTCCTGGACATGGGATATTATATGGGCAATGAATTTTCCTATCTCGTCGAGCTGAGTCGATCTAGCTATGTACGTCCGCTCATCAGTATTTTCATGTTAATTTGTAACAAGTTAAAAAGTATCAGTAGGGTTTGCCGACAGATGTATGCCCTCAGCAAATGTTCGATTATTTAAATATATATTGACTTCTCTTCTGATTATTCAAATGTTTGACCATCTATGGAGTATCGGACCCAAATAAATACGATATAAATATTGCGACGTGCCGGGTTTGGACTATATCGACTGCTTCGTTCTCTTTATATGAGATATGTGATAATTTTTAAAAAATGTTACAAGAAAATCGAACATTTATATCCAAGTCATAATTATTATATTCATCTCAGGTTTCTAGTTGAGAGAAATATTTTGATATAGCCAGTTGTATATTGATAATTCTGGGCCTTTGTGTGTAGGGGTTCGCAGCTACATATCCTCTTTACAACAGATCTTGTGTTAGGAAAAATGGTTTCATGTGTGAAATTTGAAGAGACTTGGGTGCCTATTTCGTTTTCCTTGAGCGTTTTTTTTTCAAAATCTTGAACCCTATGCGGGGGAGGTACCAGAAGAAATGGTCCGATCTCTAAAATTTACATTGATGGCAATATTGAGATGTATCATGTCTGAATGGAATCGCATGTTAATTTCGGGTTTTATGAGCTTATGAATATTCAAAATGTTGACCCTTTGAAGGGGATGTACCAGAAGGAGTGGGCCGATATATTCCATCTTTACACCAGACGTCTTCGGGCTTATAAAAATAATGTGATGTGTGTAATTTGAAGACAATCTGATCGCATTGTATAAGAGTAATAATTATTCAAAATGCTGACCCTTTGTGGAGGAGATACTTGATGGAGAGGACTAATAGTGTCAATTTTCGCACCTGATCTAACACTGATGCAAAAATTAGGATTTGCAAAGTTGGAGCAAAATCGGAATATAATTTTTATTTATTTATTTATTATTTATTTTTTTTTTTTTTTGAAAATTATGAAATTTTGTGTGGGACCTACCAGAAGGAGTAAGCCAACATTGCCCATCTCCAAACTCGATCAATGTTTGATAATAATATAACGATGTCTCAATTTGAACAATATCGGATACTCCCGCCGTGAGTTACCGTGTGCACCAGCCAGCAGGCAGGCACGTTTTTACCGTATCAAATGATATACAGGGTGAGATGTAAAAAACTGCAACCAATTTCAAACTGCTGTCATTTCTAATCCACTTGTCTAACAATTGTTAAAAAAATTTGGTGAGAATTTTCAAGAAAAAAGTTATTCGTGATGGAATTCAAGCGTAATGGTGTGATTTCTTTATATTTTGCTGAAAACCACAAGTGGCTATCGTTAGAGCAGCCCATCATTTAAATGTGAATAAATCTTGGGTGTCTCGTACCATCGCTCGTTACCGTGATACAGCTAGCGTAGCCCGACGTCAAGGAAGTGGACGGAAGAAAACAGCAACATCAGCTGAAATAGTTCGAAAAGTAAAGGAGCGATTGATCGAAACCCGCGTCGCAGTGACCGAAAAATGGCTCGTGACCTGAGCTCGTGGTGAAGCCATAGAAATTTCAAAAAAGTGCAAGAACTTACACCGCAACAGATAGAAAATAGACTCAAAAGAGCTAAAGAGTTGCTTCCCTAGGTCGAAAGTGGTGAACTGCCGAATTTGGTTTTCTCCGATGAGAAAACATACGTTGTCCAGCAGTTTGTTAACAAACAAAATGATCGTGTTTACTTGCCAAAAGGTCAACTGAAGGTGCACATTTTCAGTTGGCTATCAGAACTCAAGCGCCGGCCATGGTGATGGTGTGGGCCGCCATAACAGCCGATGGTCACTCTCCACTCGTATTAATCGACCGTGCCATCAGAATAAATGCCCGATATTATCGCGAAAATATTCAGGAGGGTGTATTAAAGCCTTGAGCACGCAAACATTTTGGCCTCTGACCTTGGACATTTCAACAGGACAGGCACCATCGCACTCAGCACCCACATCCCAAGCATGGTTACAAAATGAGGTTCCTCGATTCATTTCCAAAATCTCCGGATACCAATCAGTTGGACTATTGTGTCTGGAGCATTTTGGAAAGCAAGGCTGGCACTAACAAATACCAAAATGTCGATCACCTCAAGCAAGCGCTATGCCGGGAATGGACCAAAATACCGCATAGCAACATTCGGGCAGCTTGTGACGGTTTCATTGGCCGTTTGAAGGCCATAATTCGTGCCAAAGGTGGCCAATACGAACAAATCTAAACTTCTTCTTAAATTTGATGCTATTCCTGACATTTTTCGCTCTCATTCAATAAATAAAAGTGGGAAATATGAAAGCTTCCACATCGGACCTAATCCCCATGGGGAGTATTACCGCTTGCTGTGGGGACTGCTTTACAAAAATGTTTAAATGTAGTAAAGTTTTGTTCGCGTTAGGGGAAAAAGGAGAAAATCTGAAGTCCCGGGCGAAGGCCGACTACTAAAACAAGGTACCAAATTTACAAAACTTCGGTTTGTGTTAGCCGGTACCGGACATACACAGAGGCGATAATCTTAAGACCAGTTCAAAGGCCGGCTTTATCAAATCTAGATAACTTAGAAAAAAAAAAATAAAAAAATTGATTAAATTCGAAACCTTAGATTCGAAAATCTCAAGCCAAAAGACTATGACCGAAAAAACAGATCATAATCTCCATAATTGTAATGGAGATTATGTTCGTTATGAAGATGAAATATGTAGGTCTAGTCTTTCCGGTAAAACCCATACAAAGATTACCTAGAGGAAAAAGAATCAAGCTCTGGCCAAGGGCCGGCTATTTACAAAAAGTTTTAATTTAGAAAACTTTGGTTTGCCATAGCCGGGCATACCCAGAGGAGAAAAAAATTAAAATTTAGAAAACTTTGATTCGAAAATCTCAAGCCAAAAGACTATGACCAAAAAAATCGGTCATAATCCCCATAATTGTAATGGAGATTATGTCCGTGGTGAGTATGATACGACACCTGCATAGGTAATGTCTTTTATAAAGATAAAATATGTAGGTCTAGTCTTTCCGGTAGCATCCATACAAAGATTATATGCAATACATGACCAACAGATTCTTAGGGCATCGATTTACAATAAAACGATGTACCTGACTCTTGTTTTTTTATGGAGGACTGGTTAGTTGAATATTTTATGGAGAGCTTCAACTGTACACACCCGGAAACATAACACTGCCACCTATTAGGCAACCAACAATTTGAGGAAATTACCAACAAAAAAGCTGCAACTAAAGCTTTCAAAGCTCATATTAAATTGGTTTAGAACTTTGCTAAGTTAGCAAAAAGCTATCCCCGTTTTCTCATGCATTCGAAAGCGCAACAAGAAAATTTCTCAACCGGTCCCAACACGAGAGGCGACGGTTATAAACAAACAGTTTCTAATCAACGGTAGCACGACAAAGTACAGAAAACGTTTCGCTGGCTGAATGACTAGCTGGCTGGTGGTGATCGCATCCCATTCATTATTCGTTGTGGTCGGTTTCATTTCGTCGCTCCAAAGGCAATGGAGGGATAGATCATTAAGTTCAAATATCTAAATTTAAAACAAACAAACAAACAAATAAGAAATCTGAGCAACAAAGGCCGCCGCACAATAAAAAGAAAGCATAGCCAAAGCAAAAGAAAGAATTTAATCAAAACCGCCTAAAAAGAATGGGAAAATCTAGTGAAAATATGTGAAAAAAAAACTATGTAAAATATATAATTTAAACTGGCATAGAAGAAGATACCACAAATCTACATTTGTTTATTCGGAAGTAATTGCTAAAATAAACCACATTAACTTTGAAAGTCAATTAAAATCAACAATAGCAGCAACAACAACCATAGAGATCCCACAAATCCATAATAAACACATTTTTTATTCTTCAAAATTTTGATTGATAGAGACTACGCAAGGCAAGGTAAGCCATTTGAATCATTCGTGGGGGATACGTATCAATGAGATCACTCACACTCACTCTCGCTCTTTATCTCTTTTCTTGTTTTTGTTCTTCATGGAATTACTCTCACTGTTTTGATCTCTAACTCTCATTGTTTTCATGTTTTGTTTTTTATGGGCCACTTGCACAATTTCCCCCAACCCAACAACAAACCGTTTTTGTTATTGTTCTCATCAAAACCACATTTTGCATTGTGTGTGTGACTGTGCTCCAATTCTATAGCGAGAGAGAGAGAGAGAGATGGAGACCCAAAACCGGCACGCTCATTACTCAGCCACATTACAATCACGAAAAACCCCCGCCATCACCACACTACGTCTCTCCAAGTCCACCGCCATCTCCATTGTTTTGTTTACATTCTTCACGATTCCGACTACGACATGTGCCAAAGAATACCCCTGTCCCTATTCCCAAACAGTGAACATAACGGATGGTCTACGCCTGAAAGATGGATCCTACTCGTTTGAAGGTTTGATTATACCGGCAAATCTCACGGCGGAATACAAAATCAAAATAATCGATGGCATCGAATATTCGGCACCGAAACATTGGCGCGGCTGTGCTTGCCTCCTGAAACCCTGTGTTACCTTCTGTTGTGCCCCGAAAATGCACTACGACGAGAAACATCACAACTGTAGTCTCAACGAAAAGGATGGGCATTCCCAACACACCCACATTGAGGTCACTTTCGGCAATGGAACTACTAGTGCTTTGAATATTAAGGATACGTTTATTGTGCGCTATGAGTTTGGCTGTCAGAATAAAATCGTCGAAAGGAAGAGAAACGAATTTTGGAAATGGGATCTATTTAAGGTGAGTATGGGAAAACATGTTTCTATGAATGTTGAATGCAATATCATCATAGAAAACCTTATCCGGTCAATAGTAGAGGTAGAAGAGGTATTTTCATAGATGAGCTGGAGGTCTTCTTGCAGAAGAGCTGGAGATCTTCTCATAGGAGAGCTGTAGATCTTCTCATAGAAGAGCTGGAGGTGCTCTCATAGAAGAACTGGAGATCTTCTCATGGAAGAGCTGTAGATCTTCTCATAGAAGAGCTGGAGGTCTTCTCATAGATGACCTGGAGGTCTTCTCATAACAGAGTTGGAGGTGCTCTCATAGAAGAGCTGGAGGTCTTCTCATAGAAGAGCTGGAGGTGCTCTCATAGAAGAGCTGGAGTTCTTCTCATAAAAGAGCTGGAGGTGCTCTCATAGAAGAGCTGGAGGTGCTCTCATAGAAGAACTGGAGGTGCTCTCATAGAAGAGCTGAAGGTGCTCTCATAGAAGAGCTAGAAGAGGTCTTCTCATAGAAGAGCTAGAAGAGGTCTTCTCATAGAAGAGCTAAAAGAGGTCTTCTCATAGAAGAGCTAGAAGAGGTCTTCTCATAGAAGAGCTAGAAGAGGTCTTCTCGTAGAAGAGCTAGAAGAGGTCTTCTCATAGAAGAGCTAGAAGAGGTCTTCTCATAGAAGAGCTAAAAGAGGTCTTCTCATAGAAGAGCTATAAGAGGTCTTCTCATAGAATAGCTATAAGAGGTCTTCTCATAGAAGAGCTAGAAGAGGTTTTCTCATAGAAGAGCTAGAAGAGGTCTTCTCATAGAAGAGCTAGAAGAGGTGTTCTCCTAGAAGAGCTAGAAGAGGTGTTCTCATAGAAGAGCTAGAAGAGGTCTGCTTATAGAAGAGCTAGAAGAGGTATTCTCACAGAAGAGATAGAAGAGGTAGGTATTCTCATAGAAGAACTAGAAGAGGCATTTTAGAGCTAAAGGAACTGAATACGAGAGCTTCCCACGAATATAAAAGGGTTCTCACTTTAGACAAGGATGACACCTTTTGTGCCATTGAAGACCATTGGAAACCTGCTTGAGAGCCTTTAATCCAAGAGACATTTGAAAGGTTCTCCATTTCAAATCTCCATTTCCAAGCCTATGACTATATTAAAATTTACCCTTAATTTTTAGAACGGCACACTGAAACGTGACGGCCGCTTGTACTCTACCGATGAGTATTGCTTTACACCGTTAGAGAATAAAAAAACCTGGAGCTTGACACCATTGACATGTGAAAGATTTAAGAAAGGATTTCGGGTATGGATCTATGCCATATGTAAGTATTGTCAAAATAATTTCTACCGCAGACAATGATCGAGAAAATATTTGCAGGCACCAGTTTGGCGATAATTATCAACATTGGCATTATACTGATGTTCATAGCCATAAAGGACGTAAGGAACAGTAATTATGGAGAAGGATTAATATTTCATCTATTTTCACTGACCATGGGTCTGTGTTTCCTGGTGTATTTGCATTTGAAAAATCCCTTGAATTTGTCGCATACAGCGTGTCGAAATATAGGTGGGTACTAACAAAAAATATATGTATACATTTAAATTGAAACTAAATAATTTAATTTATCTTTACAGGCTTCCTGGCATATTTCTTCATAATTGTCTCCTTTTTAATTCTGAACATCATAAGCGGTAGCTTTTGGGCCATATTTTCGCTGAAGCCCATCAAGACTTGGTATTTAAAAGTGTTGTATGGCCTCACATTTGCTGTAGGTTTGGCCTTGAAATATATTGTCAAGGCTGTGCAAGATTCAAATACGGGTCGTCACTTAAAGCCCGGCATTGGCGAGGATTTTTGTTGGTTCGACAGTAAGCAAATGAAAATCTGTTTTTCGATTGGTGTAAATAATCGGTAATTATTGTTTTTAGCACGCTTATGGGGTATACTTTTGTATTTCTACATACCAATACTGATCTCCATGGCTGCTAGCATGTTTTGTTCGGCCCGTGCCTATTTTAAGATCTTCCAATTGCCCAGTGACACTCAGATGGTTGCTGGAAAAGATTTTAAAATAACAAAAACACAGTAAGTATTGATGGCGAAATTTAATAAATACCGCAGAAATGTGGTTTATAAAAGAAATTTATAAAATTAAATCGAAATTTGTAATTATTTTTATAACCTCACCATATGACTAGAGAGGGTCTATATCATTTGAGCCGACCAAAACGTGCCTCATCGAAATAAAGGTTTTAGGACATTTGGAGCCGATCTAGCGATGTCCGTCCGTACGTCTGTCTGTCTGGCTGGTGTGCACTATAACTCTCGAATTATCCAAAATAGATCGAGTTCGGAGATGGGTAATATCGGTCGACTCCTTCTGGTACCTCCTCCACAAAAGGTCGATAAATATTGTACTGCACAGAAAAAGAAAGGATAATCCGATTTTGCTCCAAGATTTGCTATGAACATGGTATTTATGGGTCCACTCCTTCTGGTACACCCCACCCCCACAAAGGATAAAAATTTTAAATATCCATGAAGCTAAAAAAACTCGAAATTAACATCCGACACAATTTACACTTGGCACACCTCAATATTTTTATCAACATAAAGATGGTAGAGATCGGACCATTCCTTTTGGTACCTGCCCCACAAAGAGTCAAAGTTTTAAATAACAAAAACGACCATAAAATCCGAAATATGTATTCCATTCTCTTTATATTTCACACACCCCATTACTTCTACTAAAAAAAGTCAGCCTCAAAATTTTGAATATCCATTAAGGCCATAAAACGCGAAATCGTCAACCGATTCCTTCGAACTCGTCACACCCCAATATTTTTTTTAACACAAGATCTGTTTGGAGAGGGTAGTTATCGGCCTACTCCTTCTTGTACCGCCCCCACAATGGTTTAAAATGTTAAATAACCAATATATAAAATGTGAAATAAGCATACCACTCATTCTAAGCTTCACAAATACCAATATTTCCACTAACTCAAGATCTGGTATGAAGATGGAACATATCAGTTTACTCCTTCTGTTACTTGCCCTACAAAGAGCCAAAGTTTTGTATAATTATATTCCTTATAACATGCGGAACAAGTCAGCGTTTTTTTTTTTTTTTTTCAAATTTGATTTATTTAAATATTTCTCTCACCCTGAGATCTGATACGTATATAGCATTTATTCCACTCCTTCAGTACCTCCCTTACTAGGGGTCAAATTTTGAATAATTATATCCCTTATAACATGTGAAAGAGCAAGCGACATACTTCATACTTTGTGTATCGCTATGTGTCTATTAACCATTGCGATACACGATCGCAATCGATCGTAACAGATATTGCGGTCCACTCTTTCTGGTCAAAGCTTTGGCCAAAAATTCTGTCAAATTTTGAATTGTAAATGAGTGTTCGATTTTCTTTAAATTTTGTACATACCAATATTTCTATCAGTATTAGATTGAGTGAAAACTTCTGTCCTCCTTTGGCACCTAGTGATATTTATATCAGACTTAGGGGCCGGAATAATCAGGTCAAGATATATGTAAACAAAGAGACTTTGGCTGAGGGTATACACCTGTCGGCAAAACCCACTGATAAACTTGTTAGAAATATTTTTATATCCTAAACCACAGTGTGGTAAGGGTATTACGTCTTTGTGCATTTGTTTGAAACATGGAGAAGGAAGAGAGATAGACCCTTTTGAGTCGATTTCTGCATGTCAGTCCGTCCGTCCATATTTTTTGTGAACAAAATGCCCAAGGCCCAAGGACGAATTGAAATGATGAGAATCGGTTCAAGTTTAGACATAGCTCCCATATACATCTCCAACCGATTTTAGGTTAGTTGTGCACCAAATAGCCAATATCAGTCCGAATGACCTGAATTTTAGCACATCCGACCGACTTCAGTCTAGAAACAAGTACATCAAATTTTGTGAAAATCGGTTCAGATATAGCTACATCTCCCATATATAGGTTTCATCCCATATGGTGTTTAAGTCCTCGCATTCGTAATATGCACTCCACAAGAATGATACTTGGAATCAAATAACTTATGGAGCTCAAAACTACCTCTGTCAAATTTTATCGATATCGAATCAGATTTGGATATAGCTCCCATATATATCTCTATCTGATATTAGTTTTATTGTGCACCAAGTGGCTAATATCAACCTAAATGGACTGAATTTTGGCAATTCCAACAGAATTCATTCTAGAAACAAGTACTACGAATTTGATGAAATTCGGATCAGATATAGCTATAGCTCTCACTTATATGTTTCATCCAAATTAGAGATTTAATTTCATCACATGCGCAAATGCACTCCACAAGAATGTAGCTCAGATGAGAGAAGAAATCTCGGTCTTCTATGAGAAGACCGCATGATCTTCTATGAGAAAACTTCCTGGTTTTCTTTGATTTTTTATGAGAAGAATTTCTGGTTTCCTATAAGAAGACCTCATGAGTATCTATGCGAAGTCATCATAGTCTTCTATGAGATGACCTCATGGTCACAAATCAGAAGATATATTGGTCTTCTATTAGAAGCAATATTGGCCTTCTATTAGAAGACCTCTTGGTCTACAATTGGAAGACATTTTGGTCTTCTATTAGAAGATCTCTTCTATGAGAAGATCCCCTGTCTTCTTCTATCCTTTGGGGAACTATTTCTGTCTGATGAGTCCTTTAAATTTATTTTTTAATAAGATCACTATTATAGCTCTGTTCACTATTTTAAAAATTCTCTAATAAAACCCTAACTATAATTTAAATAGGCCTTAAAAAATAGTTTCCACAGAACCCACCACACAATTGACCAATGTCTGCCACTGAAGCAGCTGCCGACTTCAGTGTAGCTGTACAGCATGTAACCTAACCTAAACACACGATTATAGCTCAGATTGTCTTTTAATATAACATTCAGGCAATTAAACGATTAAAACTATTTTTTACACATATTTTATTATGTTTTTATATATATTTTTTTATTATTTATTATTAAACATTTAAATCTATTATTTACCTAATTTTTCCAGCTTTATCTCGTACTGCATTTACATTTTGGTGGTATTCTCTATTTGGATGCGTGAAATGATTGTCTATATAACAGCACGTATAAGAGAACATTTCTTCATTATCGATTTCTGGAGCGGTATATGTGTACTGTCGCTGGCCTGTGTGGGTTTTGTATTTTTGCTGTACAAAAATAAATTCGTTCAGAAATGGTGGAGTGAAAATGTGTAAGTATTCGAAATGAATACATTGGTTCCAAAGCCCAAGTCATTTCAAACTGTTATTGTATTTCATAGCACCGGTACTGCCAAAAACACCGAATACGATTTAACGCCGGACTACTCCTTTTTACGTGTTCAAAATGTCAAAAAATCGGGTAATTTAAAAAAAATATCACTATTTTTGTTTGACAAATAAAAATTAATATTTTATGTTTTATAGAACCAAGTGATAATGCTGAAAATGGAACGGAATAAACATGGAATGCTGTCCCTTCCCATAAAGCCATTGCAACAAATTTTCACAAAAGAAAAGTCTGAAATATAATTTTCTGCAAGTCATTGTTAATCTATGTACTTAATAATAAATATTTATATATTTAATGGTTGATCTAGTAAATGAGGAAGATGTTCCAAAATGTCAAGTGGTGAAAAGACAAAATATTTGTTTGGGAAAATCAAATACATTAGCGTCGATTTTTTAAAAATATTTTTCAAAAGAACATCAGAACCATAAGCATAATTTTTTTTAAATTACATTTTCAGGTTTCTTCGAAGTTATTAGCATGAATTTTTAATGTAATTTTTTAAATATTTTTTTTTTTTTGCAAGGAATGTCAAAGCCATTAGCGTGTGTTTTTATACCCTACACCACATAGTGGTAAGGGTATTATGTCTTTGTACATTTGTTTGTAACATGGAGAAGGACACGCGATAAACCCATAGTTCCTTTTGGTGATCAGCATAAACTCACATTTTGAGTCGATTTATGTATGTCCGTCCGTCTGTCCATGTTTTTTGTAAACAAAATGCAGGCCGCATTTATTATTCGATTGAGATGAAATTTGTTTGGCTTAAGGCGAACCCTATTGAAATTGGTGAAAATCGGTCAAAATTTAGATATAGCTCCCATATATCTTAATTCGATTTTAGATTTCTTGTGCACCAAATGGCTAACAAAAAAATGGTGTGAATTTTGCTACATCCGACAGAATTCAGCCAAGAAGCTTGTGCTTCAAATGTGGTGAAAATCGGTTCAGATATAGTTATAGCTCCCATATATATGTTTCATCCGAATTGGTGCTTAAGTCCCTCACATTCGTAATATACGCCCCACAAAGATGATATTTAGTACCAGATATTAGATTCAGCCCAGTAATACATGATTCAAATTTTATCAAGATCGGTTCAGATTTGGATATAGCTCTCCTATATATCTTCGTTCGATTTTAGGTTTCTTGTGTACCAAATGGCTAATTTCAGCCCAAAGTGAGTGAAATGTTGCACTTCCAAGCAAATTCATTCAAAAAAATAAGACTTAAAATTTGGTGAAAATCGCTTCAGATATAGCTATAGATCCCATATATATGTTTCATCCGATTTGTTGTTTGATTCCCCAACTTTCAGAATATGTACTCTACCATAATCAAATGTTGTACCAGATATCTCATAGAGCTCAGATATAAACCTCAATATGAACCTTTCTTTTACGAGAGCTCTACTAGATCTGTGTAGGGTATCATACAGTCGGCCCCGCCCGAATGTAAGCTTTCCTTACAGGTTAAAAACTTTTTTTAAGTACCATCGAAGTTATAAGGTTGGATTTTTTAAATATATTTTTTCAAAGACTATCGAAGCCTAAATTGTGGATATTTTCAAGGTCCTTCGCACCTATAAGCGTGAATTTTTTTAAACGTAGTTTTTCAAGGATAATCAATCTATTAGCGTGGATTTTCTTAAATATATTTTCAAGGTCATTATAAGATTAAAGCGTGGATTTTAAAAAATATTTTCAAGGTCCTAAGAAGCTTAAAGCGTGGGTTTTCTAAATATTTTTTCAAGGAGCATCAAAGCTGTAAGCGTAAATATTCAAAATTTTTTTTCAAGGACCAACGAAGCCGTAAGATTGGATTTTTTTAAATATATATTTTCGTCCTTCGAAGCTTAAAGCGTAGATTTGTTTAAATATATATTTTCAAGGTCCTTCGAAGCTTAAAGCGTGGTTTTTTAAATATATATTTTCAAGGTCCTTCAAAGCTTAAATCGTAGATTTTTTTAAATATATATTTTAAAGGTCCTTCGAAGCTTAAAGCGTGGATTTTTAAATATATATTTTCAAGGTCCTTCGAAGATTTAAACGTGGATTTTTTAAATAATTTTTTTTGAGGGACTAACGAAGCTTTGAACGTGGATTTTTTAAATAATTTTTTTAAGGAAGCTATAAGCGTGGATATTTTAAATAACTTTTTTATGGAAGCTATAAGCGTGGATATTTTAAATATTTTTTTTTTAAATAATTTTTTAAGGAAGCTATAGGCGTGAATATTTTAAATAATTTTTTAAAGGGATATTTTAAATATTTTTTAAGGAAGCTATAATCAAAATTTTTTCAGGGACCATCGATCGTGGATTTTTTAAATAATTTTTTTAAGGAAGCTATAAGCGTGGATTTTTTAAATATTTTTTTAAGGAAGCTATAAGTGTGGATTTTTTAAATATTTTTTTAAAGAAGCTATAAGTGTGGATTTTTTAAATAATTTTTTTAAAGAAGCTATAAGTGTGGATTTTTTTAATATTTTTTAAGGAAGCTATAAGTGTAGATTTTTTAAATAATTTTTTTAAAGAAGCTATAAGTGTGGATTTTTTTTAATAATTTTTAAGGAAGCTATAAGTGTAGATTTTTTAAATAATTTTTTTAAGGAAGCTGTAAGCGTGGATTTTTTAAATATATTATTTTTAAGGAAGCTATGTGGATTTTTAAAATAATTTTTTAGGGACCATCTAAGGTATAATCGTGGATTTTTTAAATAATTTTTAGGGACCATCGAAGCTACAAGCTTGAATTTTTTAAATAATTTTTAGGGACCATCGAAGCTATAAGCGTGGATTTTTTAAATAATTTTCTTTAAGAACCGTGAAAGCCATAAGCTTGGATTTTTTATATAATTATTTAGGGACCATCGAAACTATAAGCTTAGATTTTGTAAATAGATTTTTAGGGACCATCGAAGCTATAAGCTTGGATTTTTAAATAATTTTTAGGGACCATCGAAGCTATAAACGTGGATTTTTGAAATATATTTTTTTTTTCAAGAACCGTAAAAGCCATAAGCTTCGATTTTTTTATATAATTTTTTTAGGGACCATCGAAGCTATAAGCTTGGATTTTTAAATAATTTTTAGGGACCATCGAAGCTATAAGCTTAAATAATTTTTTTAGGGACCATCGAAGCGTGGATTTTTTAAATAATTTTTCCAAGAATCGTGATAGCCATAAGCTTGCATTTTTTAAATTATTTTTTTCAAGAACCGTGAAAGCCATAACCTTGGATTTTTTAAATATAAATTTTGAAGGACCCTTAGCGTGGGTTTTTTTTAATAATTTATTCAAAGACCACCGAAGCTATTAGTGTGGATTTTTTTATTATTTTTTTTTTTTTTCAAGGACCATCAAAGCCATTAGCGGGGAGTTTTTAAATAATTCAAAGCCAAAATTGTGTTATTTTTAAATTATCTGAATTTTTTAAGCATAAATTCTATAATAGTAATTGTTTGAAGTATTTCAACATTTAACTTTCAGTAAAGAAATTAAACTAAAAACAATTAATTTCAAGAATCTAAACTTTTAAAAAAACACAAATTAATTTACACTCAACAGGATATCAAATTTTAGCTGTCCTAAGTTATTTCCATTTCATATTCCATCGCCGACAAATGCTTCGTCGAAAACACTTAAACGAGTGACATCAACACCCACTCATTTAGCCAGACAGACAGGCTGACAGACATAGAACAGGTGAAAAAGGAAATTACAACATCGGTGGCGGATATTAATAATTAAGGACTTTTACCTGGTGGCCTTTTGGGACCTAAAGCAAAAAACAGCAACACCATGAATGGAAAATGGCGCCAAAAGTTATATGCTGAATAAATATACGCACAAACATATACATGCGAATTTGTGAGTATGAGTGTGTGCACCTCAGAGCATCGAAGACATCTACAGGAGACGGACGAATTAGGAACGTTTAGATGTGTAAATTGTGTAAAGCGAAAAAAAACACCAGAAGAGTGAATCTAGCAAACAGGAAAAGCAACAGAAACTTGTTGGTTAAACGCAGCAACTTAAGTCAACGGCAAAAATAAAATTGACTTGCAATTTATGGAGACATGAGAAAATTTTTAGGTTTAAGTAAGTGTTTATTAGCGTGTTATGGTATGGTATGGATGTTATGGAAATAAATCTATGAAAATATTCTACGAGAAGACCTCTTGGTTTGTAATGAGAAAACTACTTGGTCTTCGGTGAGAAGACCTCCTGGTCTTATATGAGGTCATGATCTTCTATGAGAAGACCTCCTTGTCTTCCCTATGAAGGCGTTTTGCATTCAATGAGAAAACGCATGACCTTCCATAAGAAGACACTTGATATTCTATGGAAAGACCTATTGGTCTTCTATGAGGTCATGGCCTTCTTTGAGAAGGCCTATTGGTCTTCTAAGGGAAGACCTCCTGATTTTCCATGTGAAACGCTTTTGTATTTAACGTAAAGACCTCTAAGTATTCTGTGAATAGACCTATTGGTCTTCAATGAGAAGACCTATTGTCTTCTAAGAGACGACTCTTTGGTTTTCTGTGAAAAGACGTATTGGTCTTTTTTTGAGAAGAACTCTTGGTCTCTTCTTCTTGGTCTTCTATGAGAACCTCTTGGTCTTCTATGAGAAGACCTCTTGGTCTTCCATGTCTATGTCCTTTAGATTTCCTATGAGACGACCTCCTTGTCATTAAGTCTTTTATAGAAGATCTCATGTTCTTCTATGAGATGGTCCTCTATGAGAAGACCGCATGGTCTTCTATGAGAATATGAGGTTTTCTATGATCTTCTATGAGAAAAACTTCTGGTTTCCTATGAGAAGACCTCATGGGTTTGTATGCAAAGACATCATGGTTCTCTACATGGTCTACCGCATGATTACATATCAGAAGACCTATAAGTCTTTTATTATAAGCACTATAGACCTTCTATTAGAAGACCTCCTGATCTTATATTAGAATACATCTTGGTTTTATATTAGAAGATCTCTTCTATGAGAAGATCCCCTAGCCTTCTTCTATCATTTGGGGAACTATTCTTCTCTGATGAGACGTAGTGGTATATTATAATAAGATCTTTTTGTCTCCGCTTTCACAAGTTTTAAAATTATTACCAATTATTAAATTTTTCTCACGGTGAACTTGAAACAATTTGTATCAAATCTATCCAATTCAAAACAATTTATTTTAATATTTTGTGTTAAAATATTTTCTAAATGTATAAAAATAATAACAATAATAATATTTCTTTATCTAAACAAATATACAAATGATATATTCGTCCAAATGTTGCTAATTTATCCTAATATCCATCCACCATTCACCCACACGCACACAAAGAGCGAATATCTTAAGTTTCGAATAAACAAATGCTAGTACAAATATCTTTATGGCAAAATGCTGCTTACCTATTGATTTGCAATAAACAAAAGTGGTGAAAATACACAACAAAGAATTATACACAACACGTATGCAATGATATAAATGTGTATGTATTTAGTTTACCGTGCAATTATATACTTCTTGACAATATAAAAAATCACCCTACAATGACATTGGAAATTTGCAACAAGTGTTGTAGTATACGTGTATGTGTAGATAGTATTGTAGTGCTGTAGTTTTAAAAGTATTTGTGAAAATTCTTGAGTATCCTATTCGACTATATGAGCCGACAAAACCATGAAAAGGTAATGTAAACAAAACTACCCTCTGCATTGTCAGTTATATGAAAATAATGGGATATTCCTAAAAAAAATACAAAGGAAATGAACTCACTACACTCTTTACCGAGTAATGTGTAACGTCGAAACAAAGTGTCGAAATTTTTTTGAAGAATATTTTTTTTTCAGGGGCCATTGAAGCTATAAGCGTGGATTTTTAAAATAATTTTTTCAGGGACCATCGAAGCTATAAGGATTTATTAAATAGTTTTTTTAAGGAAACTATAAGTGTGGATTTTTTAAATATTTTTTTAAGGAAGCTATAAGTGTGGATTTTTTAAATAATTTTTTTAAAGAAGCTATAAGTGTGGATTTTTTTAATATTTTTTAAGGAAGCTATAAGTGTGGATTTTTTAAATAATTTTTTTAAAGAAGCTATAAGTGTGGATTTTTTTTAATATTTTTTAAGGAAGCTATAAGTGTGGATTTTTTAAATAATATTTTTAAGGAAGCTATAAGTATGGATTTTGTAAATCATTTTTTTAAGGAAGCTACAAGTGTAGGTTTGTTAAATAGTTTTTTTAAGGAAGCTATAAGCGTAGATTTTTTAAAATTTTTTTAAGGAAGCTATAAGCGTAGATTTTTTAAAATTTTTTTATGGAAGCTATAAGTGTGGGTTTTTTAAATAATTTTTTTAAGGAAGCTTTAAGTGTGGAAATTCTTGTGTGTGAAATTCTTGAGTATTCTATTCGACTATATGAGCGGACAAAACCATGAAAAGGTAATGTAAACAAAACTACCCTCTGCATACAAAGGAAATGAACTCACTACACTCTTTACCGAGTAATGTGTAACGTCGAAACAAAGTGTCGAAATTTTTTTGAAGAATCTGTTCATTATTTGTAATGGATTGAGGATTGAGAAGACCAAGAGTCTTAAAAGAAAACTAAGTCTTCTTTTTAGATAAGGCCAGCAGATCATTTTTAGGAGACCAACAATTTGTTTTTTTTTTCCTGGAAGGTTAAGGGTCTTCTTTTAGAGACCAGCAAGTCTTTTTTCCTGGGAAGATGAACCAAAACCCCTTAAGCAGGTCTTCATATAGAAATCCAATGGATGTTTTTTTATGAGACCATTGTGTCTTCTTATAGAAGAGCATGGGTCTTCTTATAAAAGGTAAATGGGTCAACTTATAGAAGATAAATGGACCTTCTTATAGAAGACCAATGCTCCTTCTTATAGAGGATCAATGTTTTTTTTTTATAGAAAACCAAGGGATCTTCCGACATTAGACCATCGGGTCTTCTTATAGAAGACCAATGATTTTTCTTATGGAAGACCAACGATCTTCTTATAGCCTCCTTCATTTTACAGAAGACCAATCGGTCTTCTTACAGAATCTAATAGATCTTCCTTTATACCAATGGGTCTTCTTATAGGTGACCAATGGGCCTCCTTATAAAAGAAGACCAATCGGCCTTCTTAGAGAAGACCAATAGGTCTTCCTTTATTCCAATGGGCCTTCTTATAGAAGACCAATGGTTTTTCTTATAGAGGATCAATGGCTTTTTTATAGAAGACCAACGGATCTTCTTACATCAGACCAACGGGCCTTCCTATAGAAGACCAATTGCTTTTCTTATGGAAGACCAATTAGCTTTTCTTTTCTTACAGAAGACGAACGGATGTTCTTGTATAAGACCAACGGGCCTTCTTATACAAAACCAATGGGTCTTCCTATAGACGACCAATAGGCCTTCTAATAAAAGACCAAGATGTCCATTGGTCTTCTTATATAAACACAATATACATTTTATAGAAGACCAAGAGGTCCTCTTAAATAGAACCAATAGACCTTCTATAGAGACCAACGGGTCTTCTTATAAAGGAAGACCAACGGACTTCTTATAGAACTTCTTATAGTCTTCTTCTTCATTTTACAGAAGATCAATCGGCCTTCTTATAGAAGACTTGTAGGTCTTCCTTTATACCAATGGGTCTTATTATAGAAAACCAACTGTTTTTCTTATAGAATACCCATTGGTATAAAGGAAGAAGGCCAATTGGTCTTCTGTAAGAAAAACAAGTAAAAAAGCTGTAAGTTCGGCCGGGCCGAACTTTTAATACCCTCCACCATTTGGTACAAATTTGGCAATTTCCAAAAAATAAAATCCGTTAAAAATTCTGTTAAAATTTTAAGAATACCGAGTTCTTATACGACGACGGGGGCCTGCATATTTTGTCATAAGTTATTACAATATTTAAATGTGAAACTTGAAGTAAAATCTGTTTATAATGTAGTTAAAATCATTAAAATACCGAATATGGGGGGGGGTGGTACCGTTATATGAGGGCTATTCGAAAACGTGGACCTGCACAGACAATTTTCTGGCATGGGCTGAAGTATCCATTACGAACTTCACATGCGAAATTTGAAACAATCCCGATAAATAATGCCGCTAAAATCAGCAAAATACCGAATATCGGGGGGTACGGTATATGGGGCTATATGAAGATGTGGACCTGCACAGACAATTTTCTGTCTTAGGCCGTAGTATCCATTACGAACTTCAAATACTAAATTTGGAACGATTTCGCTAAATAATGTCGCTTAAATCATCAAAATACCGAAAATCGGGGGGTACCCTTATATGGGGGCTATACGAAGACGTGGACCTACATGGCTCATTTTTTGATTTAAGATTTAGTATCTATTACGAACTTCAAATACCAAATTTGAAACGATTCCGGTAAAGAATGTCGCTAAAATCATCAAGATACCGAATATCGGCGGGTACCGTTATATGGGGGCTACACGAAGACGTGGACCTGCACAGATAATTTTCTGTCTTAGGCTGTAGTAGTCATTACGAACTTCAAATGCCAAATTTGAAACAATCCCGGTGAATAATGTCGCTAAAATAATCAAAATACTGAATATCGGGAGGTACAGTTATATGGGGGCTATATGATAACTTGGACCTACATGGCCCATTTACGAACTTATCCTGCCTATTGGCAAAATATACATGTGTGCAAAATTTTAGCCTTCTATCTCAATTTGTTCGAAAGATTACAACAGCAGACAGACGGACATGGCTAAATCGTCTTAGAATTTTACGCTGATCAAGAATATATATAATTTGTTGGGTCTGACATGAGTATTTCGAGGAGTTACAAACGGAATGACAAAATTAATATACCCTCCATAGTATGGTGGAGGGTATAAAAAGACTATAAGAAGGTCCATTGTTCTTCTATAAAAGGACCCATTGGTCTTCTTCTAAAAGAAGGCCCATTGGTCTTATATATGTTAACCCGTTGGTTTTTTATAAGACTCGTTGGTCTTCCACAAGAATGGGTCTTCTTATAGAAGATCAATGGGCCTTCTTATGGAAGTCCAATGGCATTTTTTATGGAAGACCAACAATGTTTCTATGGAGGACCAACGGATCTTCTTATAGAAGACGAATAGTTTTTCTTATGGAAGACCAACGGTCTTCTTGTAGAACACCAATGGGTCTACTTATAGAGGACAACTAGTTCTTCTTATAGAGGACGAATGGGCGTTCTTATAGGCCCAATCGATCTTTTTTTAGAAGACCTAAATGATCTATAGAGACCAACTAAAAGAACCGCTTACGACAACCTGAAGCCCACCAAGTGTCATATCACAACCAATACCCCATGAGCTGTAGGGCACTCACCTTAACTCACACATAGACACATAAATTGTATGGGAAAAAACGATTGCCTCGTTCAAAGGCAAAACGATACGAAATGATTGGGCGAATTTGACACGAACACTGCTGCTGCTGCTGCTGCTGTTTGCCCTCTACGACTATGGACAAAACGATCCCCACCGTTTAGTTGGCGGCGAAATTGAGGCAGGAGTAGTTGGTTGTATTTCTTCGTTGTGCGAAATTCAATTCGTGGTGTTCGAAGGCATTTATATCGTCTCGCTTTAAGGAATTTAACTGTCATATGGCAATAAACCCATCATTCCTTTGAAATATGAAAGCAGCACACCTAAAGGATAAATAGTAGTTTTCTTTTTACGACCTAACGGGCGAATCATGTAGCTTTGAAAGAGAGCCACAAACAGCAAAAGGATTTGAATATTTCCAAACAATAGCGTCATCAGTGGGTGCGCGCGAGACTGTTTTAACCATAAATTGATGTGTGCGTGTGTGTGGATGTGTGTGTGCGCGCCTTCAAATTGTTGCTGTCTGTGTGACATAAACGACAGGATACTTGTCAAGAAATGAAGGATTAATAATTTACTCAAACATTGTTGATATCAATCGGTTCGTTACAAGCAACAGTTGAGGAATAAAATATTCAATATGTGAATATAGTGACCGGAAAATTTTGTGGCCAAACGAGTGGAACATAATAATAACAACAACAACGATAAATTAATTAAGAAAATAAGAAGCCAAAAAAATTGTGGCCTTAACACAAAGAAATGAGAAAAAATTCAATTAATTAATTAAACAAAAAAACCCCAAAGGGAAAATAATTTGAAGCAAACAATTTTTTCTTTGTTTAAAATTTGTTGTGTATTTTTCGCGTTTTTTGTGAAAATTTTTGTTTTTAGTTATTCCATTGGCCCGGCTAAAATAAACAAATCCACAAAACAAAACAACAAAAAAAATAATGTTTTCTCGAAATCAAAAACAAATCAATTCCAAAAATATCGAACACCCAACAATGCTAACGTCGCTCCTGCTGTTGCTGATGTTGGCCCCATGGTGTGTGGGTGCCCAGTACCCTTGCGCTTTTATGGACACCGTAAATATAACCGGTAGCTATCCTCATGAGACCCATTTGGCCAGCAGCAGCAGCAGTGGCGAAGAATTGACCTCCAACCACAGTTACATTTACAAATGGATGGTTGTGCCACCGGATTTGGTGGCCATCTATGACTTCATCATGGTCAATGGGCAGCGTGTGAATACGGCCCGTCATCTGAGGGCTTGTGTGTGCAAACTGAAACCCTGCATAAGATTCTGTTGCAATCCTGGCTTCTATTACAACTTGCAGGACAATGCCTGTCAATCGCTACCCAGCAACGATACAACAAACCTTGATCAACAAGCAATGCCCGTGCGTTTTGGAAATGGTTCGACGATAGCTGTTAACTCCAGTTCACATTTTTTGGTAAATATTGGTGCACCCTGCGAAAATATGAGCCTGGTTTTGAAGGACAATAATCGAGTTAATTGGTTGCTATACGAAAATGGTTCGATTATACACAAGCAGCGTTACTTCTCGAAACATTATTGTTATTCGCCACTAGCGACGCGAAAGGGTAAAGATGACGAGACTTTCGTTTGGCATTGGGAGCCATTGACATGTGTTCCGGATAGATTCCCCTTTACGTTGGGTGTACGCGAATGGACTTATGCGATATGTAAGTACTAATAATCGGCTAAATGTTGGTAAGCTTATCATACATCTTACTGCTACAACTACTAATAACAACAACGAACCCTATGCATTAACGCTGGAACAAAAGTAATTACAACCATGCACTCCTTCTACATTACCAGAAAGCTAGAAAATAATAATAATAATGATAACAATTGAGTTTTTTGCGCAGCAGCAAAAAACATAAACAAACAAGTAAAAAAGCGGCCGGGCCGAACTTTGGATACCCTTCACGTTTAAAATTGTGTTTAAATCTTAAAAATACCGAATATAACCATTCTATTGGGTTCCATACGAAAACATGGACCTGTTGCAATTTTCATTTCAAAAAAACCTGTGAATAATGTAGCTAAACTCGTCAAAATACCGAATATAGGGAGATGCCTTTTTATCAGGACTGCACGAAGACCTAGCTGTAGTATCTATTAGGAACTTAAACTACGAAACTTCAAACAATTTCGGTGACTATTGTACCTAAAATCTTCAAACTTGACCTGCCTGCAGACAAAACACTGATCTGTGTAAAATGTTAGCTTAGTATCTTTCTTCGATTTGGCTCTAGCGTTATTACAACAGGGCTAAATCGTCTTAGAATTTTACGCTGATCGCTTGAATTGTCTTATGGGATTCACATATATAGGAAAGGGATTTTTCAAAATTTGAAGGTAGAAGGGTACGAAGAGTACTAATGTGTATTAAAAATTCGATGTTTCAATTGTATTTGCCTCATCTTCCCACGGAATTATTTGAAATTTGGCATTCGAAGTGGGTAGGGTAAGTGTCTAATTCTCTGCAAAAAAAAAAAAATGATAATATAGGTCAAAGTTCCGATTCAGAATTTGTATTAGGTATTTAGAATATTTCATTAAAATATAAAGTTAAAATATAAAGGATGTATGTGTTAAAGAGGGATCTAGTGTTGACAGAAACATAGGAATGTGTAAAGTTTGAAGACATTTGGAAAGACTTTTGTCTTTAGAAGAAATATGGTGAAGGACCACTTTGGAAGGTTTCTCTCTTTAGAAGACCTTTGGAAAGTTGTTTGTACATAAAGGACCCATGGTGTAACATGTCTATAAAAACATTTTTACACGTTCAGCCATATAGCTAGATATATCATTTGAAACGGCTCAAACGTTCTTTATCGAAATAACGGTTTTAGACCCTAGGTCTCTTTGGACAAAATCCGTTTCTGGCTGGTGCGCACGATAACTCTCGAAGGGAGTCCAAACTTGGTACATTGCAACCTTGTTATCAAACTTTGATCGAGTTCGGATATGGGCATTATCCGTCCACTTCTTCTGGTACCTCCCCTAGAAAAGTCGGCATTTCCAAAAAAATGTTTTACTGCACAGAAAGAGAATAGATAATCCGATTTTACTCCTATTTTGTGAATCCTAATATATGTTATAAAGATGGTAGAGATCGGACCATTCCTTGTGGTACATCCCCCCTCAAAGGGTCAACATTTTCAATAAGCATCCAGTTCTCTTCAAATTTCGCACATGCCACTATTTCACCTAACACAGGATATGAATGTGAAGATGGGATATATCGGCGCACTCGAAGAAAGCGAAAAAAACATCCAACTCGCTTCAAATTTTACAAATCTAAACAGTTTTGCTAACACAAGATCATTTGTGAAGATGATAACAATTTTCAATCTTTTTATCTGTCATAACTTGCGAAACCCGTCAGGGATTCTTTGCAACTTTTGAAGGGAGTAATAAATATAACAGCACGTCGCAATAGTTATATGATATTTATTTAGGTGCGATACGAGATGGAAATATTGCCCCACTCCTTCGGAACCTACTATAGAGAGGGTCAACAGTTTGAATATTCAAAACAGAAGTCACATATTTTTAAATAACCGATCATTGGCTGAGGGTATACATATGTCGGCAAAACCGACTGATCTTTTTTATTTGTTTTTTTTTTTTTGTAATTTTGCCCATACCAATATTTTTATCTGTATTAGATGAAGTATGAAAATGGAATACTTCGGTCGACTGTATCTGGAAACTCACGCACATTTTACCATTTTCTAATAATTATCACATATCTCATATAAAATGAAGGAAGTAACCAATATAGACCAAATCTGTATTAAAACCAGTAAAGAAAGTCTTAAAGTCGGGCGGGGCCGACTTTGTGATACCCTACTAGATTAAGTAGAGCTTCGAATAACAATTAAAAGTTTTTATGGGAGAATTAAATCATACATGCTATGATTATATTTATAATTTAAAGTTCAAAGGACTAAATATGTCGAAGCATTTGTATCTTTCAAATTCGGACTTTTATTGCACATTTGGTGCACAATTAATTTGAAATCGGATAAAGATATATATGGGAGCTATATCCAAATCAGAACCGATCTCGATAAAATTTGGCAAAGATATTTCTGAGCTGTATTTGATATATTTTCCCGAATATCGTTGTTACGGAGTGCATATTACGGCTGTGGGTAACAAATATAACAAATCGGATGAACAATATATATGGCAGCTATAGCTATATCTGAACCGATCTTCACCAAATTTGACATACTAGCTTCTGGAAACAATTCGGTCGTAAGTGCCAAATTCCATCCCATTTGGACAAATATTAGACGTTTGGTGCACAATAAAAAGTAAATCGGACGAAGTTATTTATGGGAGCTATATCGAAATCTGAACCGATCTCGATAAAATTTAGCAAATGTATTTCAGAGCTGTATTTGATGTATTTCCCCAAATATTGTTGTTACAGAGTGCATATTACGACTGCGGAGGACAAAAATAACAAATCGGATGAACAATATATATAGGAGCTATATATATATATATCGATCAAATTTGACATACTTATTTTCAGGCCTAATTTGGTTGTATGTGCAAATTCCATACTATTCGGGCTGATATTACACCTTTGGTGCACCATAAAAGGCATATCGGGCGAAGATATATATGGGAGCTATATATACATTTTGACCGATTATCTCCAATTTGAATAGGGTTCGTCCTTGGGCCAAAAAAATTATTTGTGCAAAATTTCATCTGGATAGGGCAATAAATGCGAACTGTACTTTGTTTACAAAAATACATGGATCGACGGACGGACATGCATTAATCGACACAGAATGTGATTCTATGCAGATCATCAAAAGGAACTATGCGTCTATCTCGTTTCCTTTTGACTGTTACAAACAAATGCACAAAGACATAATACCAAGACCACCTTGTGGTGTAGGGTATAATAATCGTACGTTGGCTGAGGGTATAAATCTGTTGGCGGAACCGGCTGATACTTTTAACTTTATTTCTTTTACAGAAGATCTGTGGAAGGTCTTCCGTGTATAGAAGAGCTTAAGACAACACCTTTAAGGCGTCTTCTGTCTATAGAAGCGCTTAAAAGGCCTTCGGTTTAAAGAAGACCTTATAGTGGTCACCTATCTATAGAACATGTTCAAAAGTTTTTCTGTCTATGGAAGATATCCTCTCTGTGTAGGTCTTTTGTCTCTAGTAAACCCTTAGAAGGTATTTTGCATATAAAATAACTTGAAAAACTTCCAAAGACGACCATAGCAAGGTCATCGTTTAATGATTTTCAGTTTCCAATCATTGACATTTCATAAAATATTCAAATATTCAAAATTTAATGTGATTTATACGAGGGCGTTGATCTATGTACGTCTGAATATAATACACATCTCTGGAAAATAAATCCAGATGATGGGTGCGTTCGTTAAATGTGGTAAAAAAATGCTAAAAAAAAATCACATTCCTGCAGAAAGATTCTTGTCAAATATTCCTCTGATCGATTAATGGCCATCGAAATTGAAAAAAGCGAGCAATGATCTCCTCCGATGGCGTCAAAATAGACGGAATCAATTTGTGAGCAGCATTAGCTGTTGTGAAGTTGAGTTGTTGAAAATGAAAAACAAAAATCTGTGTAAATAAACAGCAAAAATATATTGAATTGCTGGCAGAACAAATAACAACAAATGCTGTTGTTTCCTTATGTTTAAAAGATTTATTTATTGAAAGATTTATTTCAATGTTTCTACAATAACAACTAATGACGTAGTGTCAGATGAATTTTAATGCTGGTTGTGAATTTTTTTGTTGATTATAGAAAAAAAGTTTGTTGCATATTGTTATTATTTTGTAAATTCCAATCATTTTTACCCACAATTGCGGTATTATTTGTTGATTTTTTAACAAAATCTAGAAATAATTGACCTACCTTTGCTTATATTGCAATTTTTGCTTTATTAATAATTACTTTTAAAATATAGGGTGGACGAAGCACCATGAGAACTCTTGCAAGACGTTACAGAAAACAAGCCATATTTACGCTCTGATATTAGTTCATACAATCTCTCCTTAGTTCGTACTTACTAAGGTTGCTGAGTACGAGTTATAGTCATCAACTCCGCGTATACATAAAAGCAGACGGCATATAGCAAAACGTTCCTAATCGAAATAACGGATTTAGACCCTGGTCATTTATAGTCGATCTAGGGATGTCCGTCTGTCTGGCTGGTGCCCACGATAACTCTCGAAGTGAGTATCCGGTATATCTTAAAACTACTGTCAAAATTAAATCGAATTGGGAGATGGGTGATATCGTTCCACTTCTTCTGGTACCTACCAAACAAAAGATGAAATTTTTCATTAAAAAAATTTGCGTCGGTTGCGAAAATGGACAATATGGGTCTACTTCATCAGGTTACCTCTACCACAAAGGGTGAACTTTTAATAATCATAACTCTTATAAAATATGACATAAGAGTCCGATTATGTATCTTCAAATTTAACATATCGAAATATTTCTACAAAGATGGTAGATATGGGACAACTTCATATGGTACCGCCCCAACAAAGGTGAAAAAGGTCGAAATTAAACAAGTAAAAAAGCTGTAAGTTCGGCCGGGACGAACTTTTAATACCCTCCACCATTTGGTACAAATTTGGCAATTTCCAAAAAATAAAACAC